GTTTAGGGTTTAGGGTCTAGGGTTTAGGGTTTAGGGTTTACTAACACCCCTTATTTTCGGAAACACCCAGAGGGTCGCAAGTCCGAGGGCCCATGCAGCCCGATAAAGACCCCCACAAAGCCCTCGAAAAGCATTCCTGTATGGGCTGTAAGTTTAGGGTTTAGGGTTTAGGGTTTAGGGTTTAGGGTTTAGGAATAATTACCTATATTCTCACCAAAACCTTATTCTAATTATTAAGGCCCCTACCTGCCCTAAACCCAAAACCCAAAACCCCAAAATCCAACCCGAAACCCTAAACCCTGCCCTAAACCGTCGAGACCTTGAGGTTTCTGGCAGGAGATGGACCTTGCATCCTTCGAAGTGGCTTAAGGGGCGCTTGAAGATAGAGCAACCTACGGTTTAGCGTTTAGGGTGCATAGTTCAGGCTTTAGGGTTTGGAGTTTAGGGGTGTAAGGTCTCGGATTAAGGGTTTCCGATGTGGGGCTTAGGGTTGGAATTTAGCGTTTCGACCAATCCGAATGCCGAAGCAAGTAGGATTTAAGGTTTAGGGCTCAGGGTGTAAGTGTAGGGCTTCGGGACAAGAGGGGTGGAGGTCGGGTAGGCCGATGCAATCCGAAGCCCACTTCAAGGATCAAGTTTTACCCGCTAAGTAACCCGTTCCTAAACCCTAAACCCTAAACCCCAAACACTAAACCCTAAGCCCCAAACCCAAAACCCCTCAGAGGCTGCTGTTGAATGGCACCGCGAGAACATCAGCAAGCATCCGGCGCATTACTCCGGCCTGTGCAGGCCGTTCATGTCTTTCTTTCTTGCACTTGCGCGGTTAGGGCCTGGGTCTAGGACGTTTTCAGGTGGGCAGTTAGCGTTATAGGAGCCTTATAGAGGGTCTATATACCTTATAGAAGCCTTATAGAAGCCGGATATACCCTAGTGTAGTTCGAAGCTTGTTGTTCGTCTTCATCGTTGTCGGGTTCAAGGCTCATGCACAACTGTCCGGTTTGCTGCAGTTTGTCAGGAAACGTGATTGTGAAGCACAGCTGCATCCAAAGTATGTTGTGGAAGCCTTGCGAAACCTTGCAAGCAAAACAAATTGTGGCCTTTGCGACTCAGGGTGAACATTTTTACATCTAGCCCTGCTCCCTAACCCTAAACTCTAAACCCTAAACCCTAAAGAAGTTGCTAATCCCAAACTCTCAGCCCGAATCCGTAAACCCGATAAGATCTCAACCCTAAGCCCTGAACCCTAAACCCTAAGCCCCAGACACCCAATACTGAACCCCAAACCCCCTAAACCCTAAACCCTAAACCCTTAATTCTGAACTCTCGCGGAGGAAGTAGGAAGAGGCGCAGTGACAATCGAATCATTACCACTTGTTCGCTGGGGAAATGCTTGTTTAGGGTTTAGGGTTCCAATCCCCGGGTACCTGCACCGCGACACTGGACGTACAGCAATGAGAAGCAACAGGTTGGACCAGGAACCCTACTTACAAAACCCAGCAAACCCTAAACCTGAAAGCCCTAAGCCCTAAACAATCAACATCTTCAGACAAAAAATCGAAGCGCCAGACCCAAAAAACCCTTAACAGCAGAAGTCGCATAAACCCTTAACAGAAGAAGTTTTATAAACCCTTAGCAGCAGAAGTCTCATAAACAGCTAAGAAGCCGACACTGCCAGGGCCCTGGGCGCTGGCCCCACCACGGCCCTTCAGCAGTGGGGTGCCGGGGTGCTCTATCTCCCCGAGGCCCCATCTTTTTGAGGGCTTAGGGTTTAGGG